GTCTCAGCCTTCCAAGTAGTTGGAACTACAGACACATGCCACCACATCTGGTTCGCTTTTCTGATTTTTTGTAGAGATGAGGTCTCACCAAGTTGCCCAGGCTGGTCTCGAACCCCTGGGTTCAGGCAACTCTCCTTGCCTCGGCCTCCCAAAGTGCTGGGACTACAGACTGAGCCACTGCACCTGCTCTGTTTTGCTTTTCCAGCTTTATTGAGGTATAATTGACAAATAAAAATTGTATACACTAGGCCAGGCTTTGGCTAACCCTGTAATCCCAGCATTTTGGGAGGCTGAGGCAAGTGGATTGCCTGAACCTGTGGGTTCAAGACCAGCCCAGGCAATTTAGTGAGACCTCGTCACTACAATAAATAAAAAATTAGACGGGCATGGTAATATGTGCCTGTAGTTCCAGCTACTTGGAAGGCTAAGGCGGAAGGACTGCCAGAGCCCAGCAGGATGACACCGGGATGGCCTTGAATATGCCACTGTGCTCCAGCCTGGGCAACACAGTGAGACTCAAACTCAAAAAAAAAATTGTATATTTTTGAGGTATACAAACATGAAGTTTTCATATATACACGTGTGTGTGTGTGTGTGTGTGTGTGTGTGTGTGTGTGTGTATGTGTGTGTGTATGGTGAAGTAATTATCACAATCCAGCTAACTAATATATCCATCACTTCACATAGTTACTGTGTGTGTATGTATGTGTGTGGTTAGAATACTTAACATCTACTGGAACTACAGGTGTGCGTTACTACGCCCAGCAAATTTTTTGGATTTATTGTAGAGATGAGGTCTTGCCAAGTTGCCCAGGCTGGTCTCGAACCTGCGGGCTCAGGCAATCCACTCACCTCAGCCTCCCAAAGGCGCGGGATTACAGGCTGAGCCACCAGCCCAGCGTCCTTGTTCATCTTATAACTGAAAGCTACACTATTTGACCAACATCTTCCCATTTCCCCCATCCCTCAGCCCCTGACAACCACAGTTCTGTTTCTATAAGCTTGATTTTTTTTTTATTTTTATTTTTAATTTTAGTTTTTATTTTTGAGTTGGAATCTCACTCTGTCATCCAGACTGGAGTGCAGTGGCCGCTCCTGGCCACCGCAGCCTCGACCTGCTGGGCTCCGGCGATCCTTCCGCCTCAGCCTTCCAAGTAGCTGGAATTACAGGCGCACACTACAATGCCCAGTTCATTTTGATATATTGTAGAGATAAGGTCTCGCCAAGTTGCCCAAGCGGGTCTCGATCCTGCAGGTTCAGGCAATCCACTCACCTCAGCAACTTTTTTTTAAATTGGAGTCCCACTCTGTTGCCCAGGCTGGAGTGCAGTAGCATGCTCACGGCCACCACAGCCTCAACTTCCTGGGTTCAGGTCATCCTTCCGCTTCAGTCTTCCAAGTAGCTGGAACCACAGGCATGAGCCACCACATTCGGCTAACTTTTTTGATTTATTATAAAGACAAGGTCTCGCCAAGTTGTCACTCTGGCCAGGTGCAGTGGCTCACGCCTGTAATCCTAGCAATTTTGGAGGCCGCGGGAGGAGGATTGCTTGAGCCCAGGAGTTCAAGATCAACCTGGACAATATAACATAGCAAGACCTCATCTTTACAAAAAAATAAAAAAATTAGTTGGGCATGGTGGTGTGCACTTGTAGTCCCAGCTACTTAGGAGGATGATGCGAAAGGATTACCTGATCCCAGGAGGTTGAAGCTGTAGTGAACCATGATCATGCTACTGTACTCCAGCCTGGGCGACAGAGTGAGGCTCCAATTAAAAAAAAAAAAAAAAAAAAAAAAAGACTTTCACTTTGGAGAAATACACATCTTTAAAAGCAGTGATATACATTACTTGGATTGTGGAACATAAAGCAGAAAACAATACTATAAAATTATCAATTTAGCTACCAAAGCTTAAAAAAATGGAAATAACTAGCATGTGAACATATTCCGTTACTAATGGGTTAGCTTAGTCCTGGTTATCTGAGGAATATCCTTGCTAGCAATTTGTTGCTGGCATTAGACGATGTCGTTGTGTGAACTTCATAGAGTGTACTTACACAAACCTAGATAGCAGAGCCTATTACACACCTAGGTCATGAGGTCTAGCCTGTTGCTCCTAGGCTATAAATCTGTACAGCATGCTACCTTATGGAATAATGCAGACAACTGCAACATAATGGTAAGTATTTGTGTATCTAAACATAGAAAAGGTACATTAAAGATACACTATTACAATCTGTTTTTTGAGTTGGAGTCTCACTCCATTGCCCAGGCTGGTGTGCAGTGGCACACTCATGGCCACCGCAGCCTTGGCTTGCTGAACTCAGGTGATCCTTCTGCCTCAGTCTTCCAAGAAGCCAGAACTACGACACGTTTGTCATTTAAATAAATGGCATCACCCAACAGCTCATGCCAAAAACTTGAGAGTTACCTTTGATTACTAGTTATTTATGCAAAAGTGCCTAGAGCCCATGAAAAGTCATGTGGCCCTGGCAGCAACAAGCTAATTACTGGACCTTCTCTTTCATTCATTGCATCTGTATAACACATGAGTCATCCTGTTTTCTAATTACAGTGTGATTTCCATAAAGTACACAGATTTTTTTTTTTTTTTTTTGAGTCAGTCTCACTCTGCTGCCTAGGCTGGAGTGCAGTGGCACACTCATGGCCATTGCAGCCTCGACCTGCTGAGCTTAGGCTATCCTTTCACCTCAGCCTTCCAAGTAGCTGGAACTACAGGCGCTCACTACCACACCTGGCTAATTTTTTGATTTATTGTAGAGACAAGGTCTCAGCAATTTGCCCAGGCTGGTCTCAAACCCCTGGGCTCAGGCAATCCTCTTGCCTCAGCCTCCCAAAGTGCTGGAATTATAGGCTTAAGCCACCGGGCCTGGCCAGTACAGATCTTTAGTGCACAATCTGATGATTTTTACATCAGATGAGGAGGATGTAACCACCATTTATATCAAGATGCTACATAATTCTTTTAAAATTTTTATTTCGGTCTTCTGCTCAAATCTAAGCAGTTGTCCATGCCTCTCCCTCTCCCTCTCTCTCTCCCCCTCCCCCTCTCTCCTTCCTCTCTGTCTCTCTCTCTCCTTCCTCTCTCTCTCTCTTTCTGGTCTTCCCCCAATTGCCAATGCCATCTCCACCTTTGGGATACCCTGAACCTGGCATGAGCTGAACTCCCACAAGTGGCGCCCAATGTGGGGCCTCAAGGTTGGAAGTACGGAGGGCGGGGCGGGCCTCGCCTCAACAACATGGCTCCTACCCGGACCAGGCTGGAACTAAGACCCCAGCCACAAAGCCAGCTAGTACCCGTTACAGCGATTACAGCGATCCTAGCAACCCTGTTCAGCCAACTGCCAGCAGACGCGACAGCTGTCCCAACCAATGATCGCTCTCCCCAATCCCCCTCACAGCTTTCTCAGCATGCCCTTTATAAACCTGTCGCCCATCTTGCTTGATGCGACTTCTCTGGCCCACAGCTATAAGGACCAGAGAACCTCGCCTGGGATTGTGCTAATAAATTTTTCTTGGCTTCTTTGCTAAAAATAAAATAAAATAAAAAAATAAATAAAACTTTCATTTCAAGTCATGACATTCCTCTGCTTAAAATCATTCTACACTTTCTGAGCCCCTCCTAAACCTGAGTTACAAAGCCTCACCCGATCCAACTCCTCCCTATTTCTGACTTCATTCTGTACCACTGCTCGCCCTCCCTCATCACACTGTCTCCTCCCAAACCTCTTGAGACGCCCTTCCCAGGGCTGGCTGCTTGTAATATAGTCTAAATGTCACTTCCTCAGAGGCCTGCCTTGTATGGGCAATCTAACTTGCACCTGATCACCTTTTATTACATCACCTCATTTTAATGATCTGCAGAATACTTATTATTTCTAACATTTTACTTATTCGTTGTTTACTGTCTGTCCCTCACTAGAATATAACGTCCTTGAGACAGTTTTGTTCTGTTGTAACCACAAACGTCTATAACAGTGGTTGGCACACGGTTGGTGCACAACAGAAATGTTAGTTGAATGAAGGAAAAAATGGAGCATGGACAGCACTAGCTCTAAAACCATCAGGGCCTGAGTTTGACTAAACCTAGTCAGTAAACTGGAGCATTAGATGAGGTAGAGGGCTGGGCGCGTTGGCTCACACCTATAATCCCAGTACTTTGGGGAGGCCGAGGTGAGAGGACTGACTGCCTGAGCCCCCGTCTCTGAGACCAGTCTGGGCAACTTGGTGAGCCCTCATCTCAACAATAAATTAAGAAAAATAGCCGGGCGTGACGGCGAATGCCTGTGGTTCTAGATACTTCGAAGGTTGAGGTGGAAGGATCGCCTGAGTCCAGCAGGTAGAGGTTGTGGTGGCCGTGAGCGTGCCACTGCCCTCCACCCTGGGCGACAGAATGAGACACCAACTCAAAAAAAAAAAAAAAAAGATAAAGGCCAATGGGAATTAAGTATTCGACATCTGTTACCTTTTCTTTTTTTTTTGAGTTGGAGTCTCACTCTGTCACCCAGACTGGAGTGCAGTGGCCGCTCCCGGCCACCGCAGCCTCAACCTGCTGGGCTCCGGCGATCCTTCCGCCTCAGCCTTCCGAGTAGCTGGAACTACAGGCGCGCGCTACCACGCTCGGCTAGTTTTTGATTTGTTGTAGAGATGAGGTCTCGTCAAGTCGCCCAGGCGGGTCACGAACCCGCGGGCTCAGGCAATCCACTCACCTCGGCCTCCCAAAGTGCTGGGATTACAGGCTGAGCCACCGAGCCCGGCCTCTGTTACCTTTTCATTCCTTCTAAACACGCCTAATTAAAGCCATTCTTACACCGGATGTACGGCTTGTTTTGCCCTTCCCAAAAGAGATTTAAAAAGAAACTCAGAATCTTTTCTCCCAGAAAATCAACTGGCGCACACGGATTCCAAGCTCCATCCCGCCCACATTCCGAGCAGAAGCGGAAGTAGCAAAGGCAGCCCCGCCCTCCCCGCGGACTCCGCGGCCGGAAGTCCGCCCATCACGAGATCCGCCCGGGCCCAGGCCCCGCCCCGCGTCCGCGCGTGGCCCTACGTAAAGCGCGAGTGGCTTCGCGACAGCCCAGGCCCCACCTCTTTGGCCACATGTCGCGCAGGTCTTCCCGTCGGACGCCGCGCCGCTACTGCGCGCTGCTTTACGAACCTAAAGCAGCGCCGCCCCGCCTCCTGTGTCCGTCCTCACCTCCCCGCCCCCTTCCAGTTTCGCGTCTCCTTCCCCGACGCGCCCGCTATAATCACGTGACCGCTTCATCCGGGTCCTTTGCGTTCTCTCTCCCTCTCCCAACATGGCGGCCTCAGGTGAGCGAGCGGCCGAGCGCGGCCAAGTACCGGGCTCCGAAACCACCCTCCGAGCCTGATCCACTGATTTCCTGGAGTCGGGAAGCGGGCGGCACTGGGTGCCTTCCAACTTGGGGGCTGCGGCAAGCTGGCGGCGTGGCCGGGTTAGGCTATCGCCTCGGGATGTTTGGGGGGAGGGGAAGGTGTCCTTTCCCTCCCCCCCTCGCACCCTTTTCACCCCGTCCGCGCGAGGTTGGAGTAGGCAGTAATGGTGGACTCTGACTTGAATTGGAGCGAGGAGGACGCGCAGAAAGATCTACGGGAGGCGCGAGGCCTTTTCATTGACGTGAAGCACTGTGCCCGCGTGAAGCGAGGAGGAAGGAAGGAGGCGGTTGGCGCGCGGACGAGAGCACATTGGACTAGGTCTCCCAGGCGCGAGGCCGTTGCGGACGGGAGTGGGGGCAGGGGAATAAAAGGGGGGGGCAGTTAGAACGCAGTCTCGGGTCGGTGGAGGGGCGGGGGAAGGCAGCGGTGCGCGTGCGCGGTAGGAGAGCCCAGGGTAGTGGAGATGGGCGCGCCTGAAAAGCGTGCGCTAGAGTCCAGATGGGAAGCTTTTATGTGGCTGTGTTGCGCTATTGTATGTCCTTTTACTTTAATGCTCTTCCCCTTGTGGAGTGCGGCCTGGCCCCTATACTTTTCCAGGAGCACATGTGTTAGGTTTGGAGATCCGAGCTATGAGAGTTTGGTGGGGGTGGGGAATCCAGTGTGGTGCGCCCACGTGTTTGGAGAAGAAGCTGGCATGGTCACCGAGATTCGCTTCTAGGCTTTTTTTCTCCTATTTAGTCAATACATTTTTACTTCGCGCAAAATACATGGCAAGATCAGGTCCCTGCTTTTACGGAGCTTCCATTTTGATTGAATTTTGATGGCTTCGATGGTAGAGTTCAGCTTTTTTTTTTTAAATAAGATAATTGTACGACTACCAGGATGTGCTATTAAAATACTGCTTACTAGTCGCTTGAGTTGCCTTTTTTACACTTACTTGAGGGAAGAATATCAGTGCCATACAAGTCTACTTTCTGGTGGACTTGAGCAGCTGTGAGCTGTATAATATCTTGTAGCGTTAGTTTTGGGGGGAAATAGTTTTTTTCCTCTGGCATATCCTTGAGTTCTGCAAAACATATTTTGAACTGCTATGTCTGGACACACTAGTCACCCGGGAATGAATTTGTTTTTACAAGAGAGCTAAGGGTTATGGTTGTCTTTGGGAAATGTTGAGGGAATTGAGTTGCATTTGAACAAAATACCTTGCATTGGTGCAGCACTTTGACAATTGACCAAGCACTTTTATGTCTGCTGTCTTATTTGCTCCTCTGTGAAGTAATGTGGGGAGACAGTGGTATTTCTCAGCTGAGAAAAATGACTTGTCCAAGGTCACACTGCTTCTAGGTGGTATAGCAAGGTCAAAATCTTTGAGACTCCTGACTCCTTTACCAACTTGGAGGTACCAACATGCTATCTTCAGTTTGGGATGCTGCCCAAAAGCATATTCTGAGGTTTACAAAAAATTTTTTCTTCTGTGGGCCAGTAAATTACTAAATGTTTTAAACTTTCGTTTTTAAAGTACTTACTTGTTCTGGATTTGCCACCTTGACAATTTAGCATCATACTTTAGTGAAATGTCTGTATTTCCCGTCTCCATAACCTCTGGGATTTTTAGAGGTGGAAGACATAATAACAATCCATGTCCTTCATGTTGCTGAGTTGAATCCCCCTTTGTTCTTCTGTATTTACCTCTTTGAAAACACTCATCTCTGATTTATTTTCAGTAATTTTTTTAGCCAGTATCCGAGCACAAGAGTACATCTTACAGTCTGCCCTTGAAGAATTTGGGATGTATCAAAAAAATTTTCCCCTCTTTGAATCTTTTCCAATTGCATCGACTTTGTTGAGTGACCGATATTCCCAAGATGTTGGAAATAGATCTTATGTCTTCTCTTTGAAAATACATGATACAGCTTCATAAGTCTCTTTTACTGTTAAAGAAGCCAAAAAATGATTTGCAGCAATACCAGTTTCCAGTGTGACCCATTATAGATTGACCTTCAGGAACAGAAAGTGTCTCAGAACTATTGAATGAGAGTAGTTTGAATTCCTAGTAAACTTGACGAATTCATCCAGGGTTACTTCTTAAAAATGTGAGATTTTTACTTTTTCTTAAATTTTCATTGTGGCTGTTTCAGTAGACTTGTTACAAGCTAGGCAGGGGCCTTTCATTTGCATAACACTTGAAGATGCCATCATATGTGGCATCTTGTTTGTTTATTTGGGGAGAGGATAGTGTCCATTTTCATACAGTGCTGACCCTTATAGTTAAATGGCTTCAAGGGTTGCCATTATATGTTCACTGCCTATTTTGAAATCCCATTCTCTACCATGTGTTATTTTGCGAGTTGGATAACTAGACTCAGAAGGCCAAGACTAAAACTGCTTATGAGAGTTTAAATACAAAATACAGAGAATGGTGTCAATTATAGTAAAACAGTTTCTAAGTAATATCATTGAAAAGTATGTTCATTTATACATGTGTATATATACCTTTAATAACTTTGAGATCTAATTCACAAGCCATGTATATATGGCTTGAGGTAGAATTTGTATTGTATTAGTCTCAAAACTTCCTACTACATGTACTCAAGAATTGACTTTTATAAGTATATTAAGTGTCTGCTTATAATTAAGTTTGTGTATGTACACTTATGTTTACACACACTGCTGTGGTCCTAATGGTGGAAAAGTGCCCAAAGCTAGAAGTTAAACTTTTATGGCTCCACTTAACAAGCAAGCTCCAGCCACTTTGGAAAAGGCAGTGTGGCATTTTTCTTCTGTTGTGTCAAGATGAAGTAATTGGGCACAAAGAAGAGAAGTCATGTAGCTGAACACTGGGGTCAAGAGGATGGCGTTTATTGATTCTTAGTCTTTATCTATACTATGTTGAACTTATATAGACAGTCCCCAGCTTACAGTGGTTTGATTTTGGATTTTTTGGCTTTACAGTGGGTTTTTCAGGGTATTAAGTGCATTTTTGAGTTAGGATTTTCTCATTTAGAATGGGTTTTTTCATGATGTTGCCTATCATAAGTTGGAGATTATCTGTATAGTGCAATAAGGCAAAGCCTGTCAGCATTTTGATACTGCTTTGTATGAAACATCTTTTTATGGCTGGGATCTAAACAATATAATTAGTCCAATTCTAGGCACTGTTCTTTTTTGTTGTTTTTGTTAAAACCAAGTTTTGGTATGCTGCCCAAACTGGTCTTGAACTACTGGTTTCAAGTCATCCTGCCTCAGCCTCCCAAAGTGCTGGGATGACAATTGTGAGCCACCACACCCAGCCTAGGCACTCTTAGGGTGCATTGATTACACTTATACAATATTGTTGGTGTAGGAAATTTGTTAATTAAAGTAGTTTTCATTCTGAAGAATTTGTCAGGACTCACTTTTAAAAGCTTTATTCAAATGTAATTCATACACCATAAGATTTATCCTTTTAGAGTATACAGTTTGGTGGGTTTTTATATATCCAGAGATGTTCAGCAGTCTTCACTATCTAATTTCAGAACATTTTGATCACTACCCTTCTCCCCAGCCACTGATCTGTTTCTATGGATCTGCCTATTCTGAACGTTTTGTTTAGATAGTATATGATGCATGGTCGTTTTTTACTACCTTCTTTCACTTAGCATGTTTTCAGGGTTCATCCATATTGTAGGCTGTATCAGTACTTGCTCCTTTTTATTGTCAAATAATACTCTTGTATGAATATAGTACCTTTTGCTTATCCATTTCAGTTGATGGGCATTTGTATTGTTTCCTCTCTTTTGGCTGTAGCAATTGATGCATCTGTGACCATTCCTGTACAGATTTCTGTGACTCTTCTGACTTTCTTAGCTTAGTCACTAAAACATTCAGAAGAGCTGATAATCCAGTAACATAAGTGGAACTCAAGCTTCCAAGATAATAATTAAAGAAGCTTATTTTTTGCCAAAGTTTCATCTGAATATTAAGGGCTCTGTGAATTTGCCTTCCTGAGTAAGAGTTCAGGGAAGATGCAGAAGTAAAGCTGCACTTTTAAAGTGTTTCTGCTTATAGGACTATAAGACAGTCTCTGTTTGGAAATAACTAGCAGCCAGTCTGTACAGATTTTATCATCTCCCATATCTGCTATTGGTGCTTTTATTACTAATAGAGAGGAATGGTAATAGGAAAACATTCTAAGGAGAAAAATAAACTATTTTATATCTACTGCAGCCTGATAACTGAAGACTTAGTTTCTTGCAGTCACTTTTCTGCTAGTGTACTTTATATAGGACTTAATATTTCCTTTTCAGCCGGGCTTGGTGGCTCAGCCTGTAATCCCAGCGCTTTGGGAGGCTGAGGTGAGTGAATTGCCTGAGCAATAACTTTAAAAAAAAAAAAAATTAGCCGGTCAAGGTGGCGCACGCCTGTAGTTCCAGCTACTTGGAAGGCTGAGGCGGAGGGATCGCCGGAGCCCAGCAGGCCGAGGCCACTGCACTCCAGTCTGGGTGACTGAGTGAGACTCTAACTCATAAAAAAACAACAACAAGCCAGGCTTTGTGGCTCAGCCTGTAATCCCGCACCTTTGGAAGGCTGAGGTGAGTGGATTGCCCGAGCCTGCAGGTTCGAGACCCGCCTGGGCAGGCGAGACCTCATCTCTACAATAAATCAAAAAATTAGCCGGGCGTGGTAGCACACACCTATAGTTCCAGCTAATTGGAAGACTGAGGTGGAAGGATCGCCGGAGCCCAGCAGGTCGAGGCTGCAGTGGCCGGGAGCGGCCATGGCACTCCAGTCTGGGCGACAGAGTGAGACTCCAACTAAAAAAAAAGAAAAAAAACAACAACAAGCCGGTCTCGGTGGCTCAGCCTGTAATCCCGCACCTTTGAGAGGCTGAGGTGAGTGGATTGCCTGAGCCCGTGGGTTCGAGACCCGCCTGGGCAGCGAGACCTCATCTGTACAATAAATCAAAAAATCAGCCGTGCGTGGTAGTGCATACCCGTAATTCTGGCTACTCGGAAGGCTGAGGCGGAAGGATTGCCGGAGCCCAGCAAGCGAGGCTGGGCGACCAAGTGAGACTCTAACTCAAAAAACAAACAAACAAACAAAAAAACTAACAAGAACAAAAAAGCATTTCCTTTTCATTTGTTTATTTATTGAAAACATCACTTAGAACAGTGGGTCATCCCAAACCCCAGGGACATATAGCAGTATCTGGATACATTTGTGGTTGTCACAACGAGTTGGGGTAGGTGGGTTGCTAATGGCATCTAATGAGAAGTCAGAGATACTGGTAAGCATCCTATAGCCCTGGTGACAAGAAATTGCCCAGGCTAAAATGTCTGTAGTGCTGAAATAGAGAAACCCTGACTTAAGAATTAAGCTGATTAGTTGTATTATCTTAGTATCTGTTGTAACAAATCCTGTTTATTTATTAAGATGGCCACAAATGTATTGTCCCATTTAAGGACTTCTAGATGTAAGTAAAACTTGGAGGAATGCTTGTTTGTTTGTTTTTTTTACTCGGAGTTTCACTTTGTTGCCCAGGCTGGAGTGCAGTGGGACTCTCACGGCACCGCAGCCTCATCCTGCTGGGCTCAGATGATCCGTCTGTCTCCGCCTTCCAAGTAGCTGGAACTACAGGCACACACCACCATGCCCGGCTAGTTTTTTGATTTATTGTAAAGATGAGGTCTTGTCAAGTTGCTCAGGCTGGTCTCGAACCCCTGGGCTCAGGCAGTCTTCTCACCTCGGCCTCCCAAAGTGCTGGGATTATAGGTGTGAGTCACCGCACCCCAACCAATGCTGCTTTTTTTTAAAAGATCTTCCATTTAGACTTTATGAGTGTATAAAACTTGAGGTGTGTGGTTTTCTTCTCCTTGGTCCATGTATCAATAATTGAGACATTTGGGGAGGTGATTAACTTTTTAACCATTCACATAAGAGTCAGAGAAAAAGGAGTTGGGCCTGGTGAATCATTGTGGCAAAGGACTGGTAAACCTAGAGCATTGAACACTGCTTAATTTACACAGCAGAGAGGAATATCGGGATCCTAAACATGTAATGGGCCTGAGCATTGGCAGAGCAACGGGCATAGAGGATTCTAGATAACATTTTTTCTCAGTTTATCGAAATGGAGTGGAACAAACACTGGCACCCCACTTTAGGTTTATTGATTTTGCTTTTCAGGAGCTAGTTCCTTTAAATCTAATGTTTATATTGTTGTTTTAAGTTGGAGTCTCACTCTTGTCACCCAGACTGGAGTGCAGTGGCCACTCCCGGCCACCGCAGCCGCGACCTGCCGGGCTCCGGCGATCCTTCCGCCTCAGCCTTCCAAGTAGCTGGAACTACAGGCACGCGCTACCACGCCTGGCTAACTTTTGATTTATTGTAGAGATGAGGTCTCGCCAAGTTACCCAGGTGGGTCTTAAACCCGCGGGCTTAAGCAATCCACTTGCCTCAGCCTCCCAAAGTGCTGGGATTACAGGCTGAGCCACCGAGCCCGGCTTGATGTTTATATTGTGACTGAGTCAGTGCTGCTGCTTGAGTAAAATAAGTTAGAGCTCTTGTGAAGAAATCATAGCCTGCTTTTTAAAAGACTAAATAGTGATTTCTTGTTTTGTTTTGTTTTTTTTGAGTTGGAGTCTTACTCTGTCACCCAGACTAGAGGGCAGTGGCACACTCCCAGCCACCGTAGTCTTGACCTGCTGTGCTCAGGCGATCCTTTCACCTCAACCTTCCAAGTAGCTGGAATTACACGCATGCGCCACCACTCCTGGACAGTTTTTTTGATTTATTGTAGAGATAAGGTTTCACCAAGTTGCTCAGGCTGGTCTTGAACCCATGGGCTCAGGCAGTCCTCCCTCCTCAGCCTCCCAAAGTGCTGGGATTATAAGCATGAGTCACCGTGCCTGGCCCAACAGTGATTTCTTAGAGTGTGTGTGGATGAGGGGACAATCAGAGAGGAGGGGAAGATGGATGATTTTAAAAGACATTTTTAAACTAGGAGTGCTTTAATGTTTTTCAGTCATAAGGTGTTCTAATTTATTACAAATTTTCAAGTAATGTTAAAGAAGAGTGAGACTTGTTTGTCAGAAGAGTCAAGGGGTAAGAGTTGAGAAACCCTGATCTACAAAGTTGATTTAAGCCAGATCAGACTAAAGGGCGGGTAAATTCCAGATTCTCCTGTTTTGGTATAAGATATGTATATAGAACAAAGAGAAAGGTGTTATCTTACACAAATTCTTATGTTCTTAGATTGAACTTGACCTCATTGTTTATACTGACCACCAGTTCTATTTTTATTCTCCCAGTGGCAGGACAGGTTAATAATTGGATATTAGCTGATGACACTAGATTAAGCCCCATGAGGGTAAGGATCTCCTCCTAGTAGCATACTAATCCCAGGCACTATTTTTGCATTAAAGGATATGAGAAAGGCTAAAGTAAGCCTCAGTAGTCTCATGTCTTGTTCATGTTAAAATTTATTATTTTTAATTATTATTAAAATTTCATCTGGCTTGCTTATTGAGACCATAATACACCAGAGTGTTATTGTGTCCAAAGGCTGTGTGTAACATTCATAGCAAGCAGGTTACCTTTGTTTCCTGCAAGTTGAATTTTAAAAGAAAGGCAGATACTGAGTAGAGAACAACTTTGTTGAGATAAATCGTGTATCAAGTTCCAGGTACTTGTCCTCTTGGGTTAAAAATTAGGTGAGAACTGGAACATGGAGGAGGAACTCAAGATTATAAAAGCCATGAAGCTGATCTTTTTTTTTTTTTTGAGTTGGAGTCTCACTCTGTCACCCAGACTGGAGTGCAGTGGCCGCTCCTAGCCGCCACAGCCTCAACCTGCTGGGCTCTAGCGATCCTTCTGCCTCAGCCTTCCAAGTAACTGGAACTACAGGCGCGCGCTACCATGCCCAGCTGATTTTTTTGATTTATTGTGGAGACGAGGTCTCGCCAAGTTGCCCAGGTGGGTCTCGAACCCGCGGGCTCAGGCAGTCCACTTGCCTCAGCCCCCCAAAGGTGTGAGATTACAGGCTGAGCCACCGAGCCCGGCTTGAAGCTGATCTTTCTTACAACAAAGTTACTTGCTTATCTCCTGATCATGCGGCTGCTGATGACCCGCTCTAGATCTTGGATTCTTCTGCTCTTTTGAATTAGTCTGGTTGGTGCCATCTCAGAAGTTCTGAGTACTGGGTAGAAAGGGCCAGTGTCAGTTCACTGAGTGGAGCCATTTGGGGATTACTAAGTATTTCATAACCACAGGAAACATTTGAATGTGTTGGCTGTTAGGGTTTTCTTGTGTTTTCCTTTTAGTATCATATCTTCATCTGAAGTATTAATATAGGGAAGAAGATCATTTTTTTCAAATAACAATGTGTTCTTTTTACCATTGTTACAGCTACCTGCCATAGAACCCATAATAAACCTCTTAGAGGTGGGGATCCCTGTGGTATATAGGAAGAGCCCTCCTAGCCTTGGTATGAAAATACCTGGGTTTTCATTCTAGCTTAGACGTCTCGTGTTTCATTTAGTCTGTGAGGCTTTGTTTTTTGTAAATTGATAGTTGTGATTTCTTCCCCACATGATTATCTTACAAGTATCAAACAATCCTCAAAAGTGCCATATACAATATATCATATAGGATAGGAATTTTGTCTTATTTGCCTTTGTATGCAGGGAGCAGTGAATGTAGTAACCAAACAGAAGTAGTTGGTAAATTGAAGATCTTTAAATGATTAATGAGTGAATATATGGTAGGAAAAAAAGGTTGTCCCCACCCCAGTTATGCTTCCCAAAGGGACTGTTGAGCATCCGTCTAGATGCTTTTCCATACATAAACGTGTTTACATATAATATGTGTTCTGCAACTTTTTTTTTTTTTTTTTGAGTTGGAGTCTCAGGCTGGAGGGCAGTGGCATGCCTCTCGGCCACTGCAGCCTCAACCCGCTGTGCTCTGGCGATCCTTCCACCTCAGCCTTCCAAGTAGCTGGAACTACAGGCATGCGCTACCATGCCCAGCTAAGTTTTTGATTTGTTGTAGAGACAAGGTCTCACCAAGTTCCCCAGGCTGGTCTCAAGCTCACGGGCTCAGACAAAAGTTGGCCTCCCAAAGTGCTGGGATTGCAGCCACCAAGCCCGGCCTGTTCTGTAACTTTTAGATGTCTTCACTTGCTGTTGGATTCTTCTTTCTGTGCCATTATATTGTGCTTTCTCCTTGTTTACGTCTGTATGGTATTCCTTCATATAAATGCCATAATCCAATCCTTTGAGTCTTTATATTGCCTTCTTTGTAACTATGTTTAACAAGATTGCATTGTGCAACTTTAAATACCTGAGTAGTTGTGGATAATATTTCTCTTGCCTTTTTAAAACAGCAAAAAAGAAGAATAAGAAGGGGAAGACCATCTCCCTAACAGACTTTCTGGCTGAGGATGGGGGGACTGGTGGAGGAAGCACCTATGTTCCCAAACCAGTCAGCTGGGCTGATGAAACAGATGACCTGGAAGGAGATGGTAATTTTTCTTCTGTCTTCATATTGGCATTTTCGTTGTCTTCTGAACAAAACCTGTGTCATAATAATTCACATCATTGTAATTAGGAAAGATCTTTTGTAGCACCTAAAGTCTTACATGTTTTTTGTTTGTTTGTTTTGAGTCGAGTCTCACTATGTCACCCAGGCTGGAGTGCAGTGGCACACTCATGGCCACCCCAGCGTCGACTGGTTGGGCTCTGACTAGTCTTCCACCTCAGCCTTCCAAATAGTCGGCACTACAGGCACGTGCTACCACGCCTGGCTAATTTTTTCATTTATTGTAGAGATAGGGTCTTGCCAAGTTTCCCAGACTGGTCTCGAACCCCTGGGCTCAGGCAGTCCTCTCACCTTGGTCTCCCAAAGTGCTGGGATTACAGGCTTGAGTCACCATGCCCAGCCAGTCTTATGTGTTTTATAGGCTCTGAGGTTTAGGCTGTCAAACTTTGCAGTGGGGACTGAAGTGGTCATTCAGGAGAACTCTGTTAGGTTTTGCTTTTGCATTAACAGACTTTCCTCAGTTACTGTTTTTTTGTTTGTTTTTTTAGTAGGAGTACTTTATTTTATTGTGTTTTGTTTGAGTTAGAGTCTCACTCTCCACTCTCTCTCCCCGGGCTGGAGTGCGGTGGCACACTCACTCAAAGCCACCGTAGCCTTGAGCTGCTGGGCTCAGGGGATCCTTCTGCCTCAGCCTTCCAAGTAACTGGAACCACAGGCACATGCCACCATGCCCGGCTAATTTTTTGCTTTATTGTAGAGATGAAGTCTTGAACCAGTGGGCTCAGGCAGGGCTCTACCTCCCAAAGTGCTGGAATTACAGGCGTGAGCCACCGTGCCCAGCATTTTCTTCATTTTAAAAGTAATGACTAGATTATCTTTTAAAATTTATTTTAAGTCTGAAATTCCATAGTGTCCTCATAAAGTGTTGTTTCAGTATAATCTATAAACTATTCAGAGCCAACGAATAATGAGTTCTAGGAGATGTTAGTGTGAAGTCAGGATGTCCTTGAGTAAATGAAAATGATCTGAAGAAAAGAACTGAGAATAGTGACTACAGAGAAATATACAGGAGAGCCATATGGTGTCATTTGAACAAGCTATGTCTTTAGGGAGGACCCCCAGGGGTCATCAGGAGCCATTTTTTATAAATCTACTCACTGTTTTTTTTCTAAAAACTTATAATGCATACTGAAATAATACTTTTTCTTGTGACCTCTTTTTGTAATTTGTGGGAACAGGAAGCTTGATGTAAGTTATACTTTTCATGAGTGTTGGTATCTGAAGTACAAATTCATGGACAGAGCTATAGGGGAAGTTTTTTTGTTTATTTGGTTTTTTTTGTTTGTTTGTTTGTTTGTTTGAGATGGAGTCTCACTCTGGGTGGCTCCCGGCCACCGCAGCCTCGACCTGCTGGGCTCCAGCAATCCTTCCGCCTTAACCTTTCAAGTAGCTGGAACTACAGGCATGCACTACCACGCCCAGCTCATTTTGATATATTGTAGAGATGAGGTCTCACCAAGTTGCCCAGGCGGGTCTCGAACCCACGGGTGCAGGCAATCCACTCACCTCTGCCTCCCAAAGGCACGGGATTACAGGCTGAGCCACCAAGCCCAGCTGGAAGTTTTTTCTTTATGACAAACCATAAAGAAAACACTCTCCATCCTAACATTCAGAATATGAGGTTGGTTAATAGTGGGTAAATACATTTGGAGTGAGAGAGACCCAGGATTGAATCCTAGTTCTGCTTGACTAGCTATGAGTGTAGGCAAATTACTATCTGAAATCTGAGTTTCCTTTTCTGTAGAATGGGAAACAACCTCACAAAATTGTTTAAAAAGATGAAATATAATGAATGTAAAGTGCCTGCCACACAGTGTTTATGTTTCACAAATAGTTATTTCTTTGTTACATAAAGAATAAGAGGTCATAATTCTGTCAACAAGCACGTGGGCCTTGAAAGTCATCAGAATACTTAGAAACAAAGAGACAATACTGATTTCTCTCTCTTTTTTAAAAAAGTTACTATTCTGATGTTAGCATTTCAGAAGCATTTTCTCTTTTTTTATTTTGAGTGGGAGTCTCACTCTGTTGCCCAGACTGGAGTGCGGTGGCTGCTCCCTGCCACTGCAACCTCCACCTGTGGGACTCCGGCGATTCTTCTGCCTCAGCCTTCCGAGTAGCCGGAATTACAGGCACGCGCTACCACACCCAGCTGATTTTTGATTTATTGTAGAGATGAGGTCTCGCCAAGTTGCTGAGGCGGGTCTTGAACCTGCGGACTCAGGCAATCCACTCTCCTCAACCTCCCAAAGGCGCAGGATTACAGGCTGAGCCACCGAGCCCAGCTGCATTTTCTCTTTCTAAAGTGCCCTTACTACTGAACTCCACCTATTTGTTTCTTGATATAGCATGTTTAATCCTTTGCAGTTAACATGTGTCCTATTGTTGTATGATGATAGTGAGGGAAGTTTCCTCTAATTTCTTTTTTTTTTTAGTTGGAATCTCACTCTGTTGCCCAGACTGGAGTGCAGTGGCATGCTCCTGGCCACTGCAGCCTCGACCTGCTGGGCTCCGGTGATCTTTCCGCATCAGCTTTCCAATAGCTGGAACTACAGGCGTGCGCTACCACGCCCGGCTGATTTTTTGATTTATTGTAGAGATGAGGTCTTGCCGAGTTGCCCAGGTGGGTCTCGAACCTAGGGCTCAGGCAGTCCACTCACCTCAGCCTCCCAGAGCGCAGGATTACAGGCTGAGCCACTGAACCTGGCCTCCTCTAATCTCTTATATCCCCTTCTCTATCCTAGTTTCAACCACTTGGCACAGTAATGATGACGACGTGTATAGGGCACCTCCAATCGACCGTTCCATCCTTCCCACTGCTCCACGGGCTGCTCGGGAACCCAATATCGACCGGAGCCGTCTTCCTAAATCGCCACCCTACACTGCTTTTCTGGGGAACCTGCCCTATGATGTCACAGAAGACTCGATTAAGGAATTCTTTAGAGGTTTAAATGTGAGTGTAAAAATTTTAGTAATTACCTAGATATTGAGAGTAGCAGCTAAACTAATTATGGAATGGAAAGTTGCTCTTGAAAAGCACCTAGAAATGTGATGTAGAGTGAAGCAAATCAGGAATACAAGGAAAACACTGAATTCATGTTTAAAAATATTTGTTGCATATATCATAATGTTTTTGTGATTAAAAAGGGCAAATAAACAAGAACATTGGGAAACTGTTGTTGTTTCTTACACCTTTAGATCAGTGCAGTTCGTTTACCACGTGAACCCAACAATCCAGAGCGGTTGAAAGGTTTTGGTTATGCCGAGTTTGAGGATCTGGATTCCCTGCTCAGTGCTCTGAGTCTCAATGAAGAGGTAAATAAATAAGGGTGGGAGATTGAGGGTGTGAGCTTACAAATCTCATGTTTATCAATCAGACTGATATTTTTTAGATTGGGTAAATAACTGTTTCAAAGATTCCTATAACATCAACAAAGAAAAGCCTGAAATACTTAACAGTGTAACACTTAACATTCAACATCTAGCAAGTCACACTTCAGCAAATTCAGTAAGCCCCAATAATCCAGGGAGGTACTTAGATGGAAAATTGTGGAAGAAACCCATAACACCCCAAGGTTCTTTTTTCTTTTATTTTTTGAGTTGGAGTCTTACTCTGTCGCCCCGACTGAAGTGCAGTGGCCGCTCCCAGCCACCGCAGCCTCGACCTGCTGGGCTCCGGCGATCCTTTCGCCTTAGCCTTCCAAGTAGCTGGAACTACAGGCGTGCGCTACCACACCCGGCTAATTTTTTGATTTATTATAGAGATGAGGTCTCACCAAGTTGCCCGCGCGGGTCTCAAACCCGCGGGCTCACACAATCCACTCACCTCAGCCTCCCAAGGCGTGGGATTACAGACTGAGCCACCGAGCCCGGCCTGTAATAGCATTTTTGATTGTTTAAGAGGATTTGGAAACATGTCCTAGTAGAAATATTTTACAGGAGAATAATGATAAACATTCAGTCTTTCTTTTTAAAAGTACTGCCCATAAATGTTTTTTCTGTCCAGGGACACGAGACTTATTTAGGGAAGAAAAAAAAGGGCTTCTTTTTTTGAGTTGGAGTCTAACTCTGTCTCTAGGCTGAATTCTGGTAGCATGTTCACAACCACTTTATCCTCAACTTGCTGGGCTCAGGCGATCCTTCTGCCTCAGCCTTCCAAGTAGTTGGAAACACAGGCACACACCACCAAGCCCAGCTAATTTTTTTTTTTAATAATAGAGACCAGGTCTCACCAAGTTGCCAAGCTCCTCTCGAACCCCTGGGACTACTGTTGTGAGCCACTGCACTCAGCTTTTTTCCTCCTTAAAGTACAGAAACCCCTTACTATTTATTGAGAAAGCACTATCTTGTGCCATAACTATGTAATCCAAGAGTGCTGTTTAACATTATTGAAGTCAGTACCTTTATAAATATTTTTGTGTCTCATAATGGAGATCATCATGATAATGTGAAGTCAGTGTCAAATAGGGATTAAAGAAAAGTATGTATTTGGTTGCATATAAAGAGCTAAGATTGTTCCAAAGTTATTCTTGGATTATTTTAAGATTTTTTTGATATCGCTGGTCTTTTTTTTTTTTCTTTTTTTGAGTTGGAGTCTCACTCTATCGCCCAGGCTGGAGTGCAGTGGCACACTCACAGCTACCGCTGCCTTGTCCTATTGCGCTCAGGCAATCCTTCCATCTCAGTCTTCTAAGTAACTGGAACCACAGGCATGCGCCACCATGCCTGGCTAATTTTTTTTTTATTGTAGAGATGAGGTCTCGCCAAGTTGCCTAGGCTGGTCTTGAACCCCTGGATTCAGGTGATCCTCTCTCCTCAGCCTCCTAAAGTGCTGGGATTATAGGCGTAAGCCACCATACCCGCCCTGAAGTTTGCAGTTCTTTAATTTCACTAATCTGGATAAGAAAAAATACCATGCAATTGTTATTATCTGATATTTACTAGACATTATTGTGGTCCCTATTTAGGAGCTACTTGTTTAGAGATTTTATTATAATGGTATTTAGAATAATTTTGGGCATTTTAAACAAAAATTCATTGTTAGCCTTCAACTGTAGATTCTACTTGCTATGATATAAGGAAAATTGAGCAGTAAAGTTAATTTTGAGTTCAGAGTATATAAATAATGATGTGGTGAAGGGAAGTCTGAGGGTATTCTTGGAGGAACTGATTTATCTAAAGATAATGTATTGAGTAAAAGAACCAGAGATTATATACAGAGTACACTTTATACATTTTTGCTGGTGTGTGGTAGAGGCTCTGTAAATGTTTGGAGGGGGTTCTTTTCTTTTGTTTTGTTTTTAAAAGATGGAACCTCAACTGTGTTCCCCAGACTGGATTTGAATTCCTTGGTTTAAGTGGTCTCTAGCTTAACCTCTCAAGCAGGTGGTACTGCAGCCACATGTCACTGTACCCAGCTTCTAAAAATATTTGAATAAATAACTGCTCTGGCACCAAACATACTTTTTTGAGTTGGGGTCTCGGTTTGTCATCCAGACATTCAGTGACACAATTATGGTTCACCACAGCCTCAACCTCCTGGACTTGAGCAGTCCTCCTGCCTCATCCTCCCAAAGTGCTGAGATTATAGGTAAACATGCCTTTTATTGAGCTAATTGGGAATTATTTTAAATTTATTACATTTGACAAATTGCCTTAGATAGTTAAAAAGTTAATTCTGTTCTGTGAAATTTGGTTTTGTAAAAATAGTAAGGTAGGCCGGGCTCGGTAACTCAGCCTATAATCTTGCGCTTTGGGAGGCCGAGGTGAATGGATTGCCTGAGCCCATGGGTTCGAGACCCGCCTGGGCAACTTGGCGATACCTCATCTCTACAGTAAATCAAAAAATTAGCCAGGCGTGGTAGCACGCGCCTGTAGTTCCAGCTACTTGGAAGGCTGAGTCAGAGGGATTGCTGGAGCCCAGCAGGTCGAGGCTGCGGTGGCTGGGAGCAGCCACTGCACTCCAGTCTGGGCGACAGAGACTCTAACTGAAAAAAAAAAAAAAATAGTAAGCCGGGCTCGGTGGCTCAGCCTGTAATCCCGCGCCTTTGGGAGGCTGGGGTGAGTGGATTGCCTGAGCCCGCGGGTTCGAGACCCGCCTTGGGCAGCGAGACCTCATCTCTACAATAAATCAAAAAAA